GATGGATGCAGCTGTGGAAGTACGCTCTATGGTAGTGTACAACCATAGAGCATATTCCCAGAGCGGCATCCGTCCTCCATTGTGGCTTCCAAAGCACGGAGGTAGGATACCACTCTAGGAGTATGCTCTATGGTTGTACACTACCATAGAGCGTACTTCCACAGCTGCATCCATCCTCTGGGCTTTGAAAGCCACCAAAAAAAACCCAAGCGGTGGGCGGCGCCAGCAGCGGAGATGCCCTGGCTCTGCAGGTATTGTAGAGTTAGCCAAGGGGATTGTGAGCCTGCGAGTCGCATGAGTGGGGAACGGAAAAGCCACTCGTGCAACCCCCCTCTCCAGCCATGCAGAACCCCATTCACTCACCTAGGGGCATCCCGAAGGCACCAAGCCGCAGGAGGCGGAGGGCGGCGAACAGTCACTTGCGTTGCTTGGTGCCTTCCAGGTATCGCTAGGTCGGTCAGCGGTGCTGTGCCTGGCTGGAAAGGGGGGTTGCTGGGCAGCTGCTCGCAAGCATGGTCACCTCATGGCTGCTGTGTTGTTGCTGCGACAGTGCAACACAGCCATTCGACCCTGAGGCTGTGCCCAGCTCTTCGGGAGCCTGCTCATAAGATAGCAGCTGTCCGGAAACCCCCCTCTTCAGCTGGGCACAGTGCCGCTGATCGACCTAGCCCAAAGTCACCAAGCAACGCAAGCGCCTTTGCCCCCAACTCGTTCCTACGGCTTGGTGCCTTCGGGATACCGCTAGGTCGGAGAGCTGTGCTCTGGCTGGCTGGAGGGGGGGTTGTCAGGGGGGCTTATTTTCAGGGAGGCTAATAATTTTGCCCACCTGAAATATGTGGCAAAGCTTTAGTTTCAGGACAGGTCGTATTTTCGGGGAAACACTGTATAAGAGTCAATATGGAATTTTTAAAAAACAGTGGTCTTTTTGTTAGGTTCTTTTGTAATGATGAAGCCTTTGGAAGCCCAACCAATCAAGAGTAAAGTAATCTTCCAGTATCTAGTGGTAGACTCAAAAAAGTTATATCGAACAGATAGAATTTGACAATATAGAAATGACTGGGAAACAAGCAGGTTAGTTACAACACTCTGAAACTCTAATTCAATTTATCTGATTGCTTTTTTGAAGGACTTACGGTAACTTTTTTCAAGTGGCTTCTGTACTATAGAAGGTTGTCAAAGCTTTGTATGACAAAATAGTTACAAAACTAATATGAATGGAAAAGCAGGTCTGGAGTTCTGGTGGACTGGACCGACAGCCAGTTTCATTGCTTTCTTGAGTTATAGCAACTTCACATTTCATCTTTTCCCCAATATTTGATCACAGAACATTTCATGTTGAATACAGTATAACAGGCATGACAGATATGAGGACACTTGGGCAAGAAGCTTTTAAGTAATCTTACAGTGTTATAATTTTTTGCCAGGGTATGTTGGCTCACATGAGTCCTATGTTTATATAGAGGCCTGTTTGGAACCTTCTACAATTTAAAAAATTGTTTAGCAAGAGTCATGTCCTTAACTCATAGTATGCAATTGGGCATCAGTCCAGCTAAACCATTTCAGCTTGTGATCACTGCAGCATCAGCATGTTTGTTGTTCAGCTGATTATTCTCCTGCTTTATTAAAATTATTATAAATACTGCTATTTATCCACTGAAAAAACTTGCAGGAATTGCAGTTGTTCTTTGCACTCGCAAACCATTGTCTGGAGACAAGAGTGATGAACTCTTAACCTATTATAGCTCTTATTTTTCCCTTAAATTCTTATTCTTGCAATGTGCTAAATATCATAATATTCTAAATATATTCTGGTGATCAAATTCTCCATCATAGAGAAAGGATATTTAGATGTGTGCCACTATCACTGGCATTTATTTATTTAGCATTGTTAATAAACTACCACATTACCTAACATTCTAGGTAAAGAAAAACAGCAATAATAAATGACAATAATTCTAATATGAAAAACAGAATATGTAACCAAGATGGAAGGTCACAATCAATTCAGAGCAAGGCATACTGGAATAATATATTTTTTATTATGCTTGTAATAAGGAAGATGGAACAAAACATACCTTACAAAAAGTGTGTTTCTTAATATGCAGGCTCCTACAGAGATTGCCTATGAAGGACTCATAGTATAAGCTTGCATCGTATGATTTCAAATAGGGCAAAAAGAAAAAGGATTCCGGTGTGACATGAATCTTCATATCCATTGTACTAATGAGAAAATTACATGTATAAAATACCTAGTTTCATTGATTTCTTTCCTCTCTAGGCTTCGAGCTCTATCAAGTGGTGGGAGTGTGACATCTCCTCCTCTCTCTCCAGCTTTGCCAAAGTATAAATTAGCTGATTATCGTTATGGGAGAGAAGAAATGTTAGCACTTTTTCTGAAAGATAGTAAGGTAAGTACGGGAAAATAGTCATATCTGATTATATTGAAATCTGTGCATAATTGTTAGGTTATGTTACTACAAAACAGGAGTTAAACACCTTAAACTCAAACGTGCTAAATGGAGATCTTAAATAATGATTGATTAAACTATGAAAAGGTTTATGTTCCTCTAATCAACAACATTATGTTGCTTGTTTTTTAAAGGTAAAGATTGTGTAGTCCTGTTTTAACTAATACATATGAAAAGATTAGTAAATTAATTGAATTGTATCAAAATGTCTTAGTTGAATGAAAATATTCTTTAGATTCATCCACTCATATTTTTTTTTATTCCATAAATTATTGATTACATTGTTTACTTTGATATGTGGACTAAGCCACTTAAAGTTATGAATATTTTGTGGGCTGGCTCCACTGCTGCCATGGCTAGTTTTTATTGGTATTACATCTTGTATACTAGATGATACTGCTCCGCTGTCTAGAGAATTCACTAAGAGAACTCACATAAATTTGTTACTTAGCTGTAACTGCAGTTCATAGAATGATTATCTGGGCATACACAGCCAGTAACAGAAATATTTGTATCAGCAGCACCAATTCTTCCACTATTGATGATAGTTGCAGACCAACTGAACAAAGCTAGTGGCCTGGAATACTTGTCTGCTGAAATCACAGGTTATTGAAACATAGAATGAAAAAATAGGAAGGACTTGAATATAATTTAGTCCAAGCTTCTATCCAGTGCAGGAATCCTACTACAGCATCTCCAATACATGGCTATCTAAGCTCTATATAAAAAAACTACAGAAAAAGACAGTCCACCAACTCCTGAAGAAGTCTATTCTATTGTTGAACAGCTCTTACTATTAGGATTTTTTTTTATGATGTTCAACCAAAATCTACTTTTTCATGATTTAAACATATTCTTATCCTGTTCATAGGGCAGCTGTAAACAATTCAGCTATGCTATCTACATGGCATGCCATATTTTAGATAGTTGAAAACAGCAATTTTACCTTCTTGCAATTTTCTCTTCTGTAAACATAATTTCCAACCATTCCAGATATTTTTTTTACATAAGTCCCTTATCATCTTGGTTGCTTACCTCTGAACAGATTTTAGTTTGTTGAAGTTCTTTCCAAAATGTGGTGCCACAACTGGATGCAGTATTCCAGCTATTGCCTAACCAGTGCTAAATAGAGAGCAATCATGACTTTCTTGGTCTTGGTACTACAGTATATGCTGAGGCAGCCTAACACTTCATTTGTATTTTGCAAATGCATCAAAGCCGCCCGAGTTGCTTGATAGGGAAATAGGCGGCACACACATTTAACAATCAGTAAATTGTTGGCTCATGTTCAGTTTGTGATCCACCAAGACACATAGCTTTTCATGTATTTTGTTTGTTTTGGTACCTTCAAATCAGGTTGATTCCTGGCTACTGCTGGACTAGTCCCTACAGTTTTCTTGGGAAGGTTTTTGTAAGTGGTTTACTATTGCTTTCCAAGGACAGAGAGTGAGTGACTGATCCAAAGTCACTCAGCAACTTCATGCCTAAAATGGGATTATAACACATTATGTCTTGGTTTCTAGTCTAGTGCCTTAACTTTTTCCCAATTTGTTTTTTTTGTAATGTGTACTGCTGCCCAATACAGGTATTTTCATCCTATATTCATGCCTTTGATTTTTTTTCTACCTCTCTATTTATTCCTGTTGAAATTCATCTTGTTGACTTCTGCCCGTTGTTCCTCCTTGTCTACGTTCTTTGAATCTTGGCACTGTCTTCCTAATGTTTGCTATTTCTCCTAATTTTATACCATATAAAATTAATAATCATATTTTCTAACTTCTAATTTGATTGAACAGGATAGGCCTAGAACATAGCCTGTGGTACACCACTCAATTTTTCTTTCAGTTTGACATGGAGCTCTTAATGAATACTCCTTCAGTACAATTGTTCAACTAGCTCTGTCCATCTAATGGTAACATACTCTACCCATATTTTGATTGCAAGTTTTTTAGGTGTTGAGATTTTTTTTTACTACTTGCTTCTCCTTGGAGAAAACTGTTTTCATTCAATTTTTATAGCTGCCTCTCTCACTAGGTGAAATTTAAAAAGTAAATTAAATTTAAAAAATAAAAACAATTATAATAATACAAAAACTAAAATATATGGCAATTGAGAATAAATCACCCATCATAATCCCTAAATTAATCAAGAAACAGGTCGCTGCAAATACTTGGGGTTCCAGACCTGGGCACAGCTCTTTCAAAAGCTATGAAAAACTATGAGAATTGGGATTATTCTAATTTAAGATACAGGTAATCCTTGCCTTTTGACAATTTGTTTAATGACCGTTTGAAGTTATGATGTAACTGGAAAAGTGATTAATGAACAGTCCACACACTTAATAACCATTGCACTGCTCCTATAGTCACATGATCAAAGTTTGTGCGCTCGGTAATGTATTTATGTCAATTGCTGCATCCCAGATCATGTGATTGTCATTTGTAATCACCTCAGAGGGCTTCCAACAAGCAAAGTCAATAGGGGAAGTCAGGTTCACTTGAAATCCATGTGATTTGCTTAAAGATCAAGGCAGAAAGATTGTAAAATTGAGTGTGACTCATGTAATGACTGCCTCACTTAGCAATAGAAGTCCTATGTCATATGTAGAAGACCACACACACACACACACACACATACACACACACAATAGAAGTAAATATACACACACAAGCTTACAATAATGAACACACACATACACACACACAATAGAAGTAAATATACACACACAAGCTTACAATAATGAACTCAGACCTTCAGGACTCTTAATATATACTTTAGTGATCAGCCTATTCACTTGATCTTGAATTCTGTGTTTTAATTTGCTTTTAATTGATGGTTTTCTTCTGGGAATTAAATTCCCATTCTTTTTTTAAAAAAATGCAGCAGTGGAGTATAATCACACTGGGAGTGTTCCATATTATCTCCTCTGACTTTTACTTCTGATAGTTATAATGTTTGAAGAAACAGAGTTGATTTTTAATATACAAATAGCATTTTTTTCATGAAAGTGACATACACACACACACACACACACAGACAGACACACACTCCCAAACGTATTAATCTCCAACGGATTCCAAAGAAAAACAATTACCAACCTAA